AAAGTGCACACATTTCAAGATCTTTTTATAACATAAATCTTGGCTTAGTTTAATCAAGTCAGGAGCCTGTAGTTCAATGGTTGTCGTTGGTTCATTTCGGTCATATTTGTTTTTTGTAAATTGTTTTGTTATAAATTAGGCAGTTAGTTTTCTCATATGACCTTTTATAGCCGACTTTACGGTATGGATTTTTCTCATTGTTGAAGGCTGTACAGATGCCTATAATTGCTTACATCCACTTATTTGAACTTTGGTAGATACTTGTCTCATTGGCAATTATAACCACATCTCCTTATTTTTAAATTCTAATACTCCAATTTGGGAGTTTTAACTTCTTTGAATAAAAAATTCAAATACAATGCTTAAGATTACTTTGTATTTCAGAGAGCTCGCTATCGGTTTAAACAAGAAACCAGCAATATCAACAATGATATTTTTTATTCAACGGCAGGAAATTAGAACCTGAACTTTGGTGTGCTTCTTTTTGTTCTTTGTGTGGTTTTAGTATTGCATAACAATTTTGACTGAAAAGCTGAACTAATTTTTAGGGTAGTATGGCAGAATCCAGTTAAAATACATAATTTGAATAAAAGGAAATATCAGTTAAATGCCCATGAAACAGTAACCCTTCTACCCAGGATATTTAAGTCTATTACTACATATAGTCTAATTCGGTTTCTTCATCTTTAACGTCACTACTAAAAGTAAAAAAAAATCATGTGAAATTAAGTTGAATCGAGCTTTCACATGAAAAAAATTCATGTGAACTTAACACGAATCGAGCTTTCACATGAATTTACAGGACTGACTATTATTATTGAGGACCAAGAAATTTGAACAACAAGAAAGAAATATAGAATGGTAGTATGAACACATGCTCACTACCAAAAAGAAGACATATCTATTTTCTAAATTTATATATTATAAAAGAGAGAAGGTATACTAGATGAGCATTAACATTATCTAAAATATGTTCAGTTACTGTTAAATTCATGTGAAAGCTCGATTCGTGTTAAGTTCACATGAATGTTTTCATGTGAAAGCTCGATTCAACTTAATTTCACTCCAACCAAAAAAGTCTCAAATGCAACATATAAGCTGCAACAAGAATGCACACGCTGAAATGTCTCGCCTGCTTTACTATTCATGAATTATTTTATGTTGATAGTCCTAAGGATAAAGTTTTAGCACAAGTGTCATATAAACCTAGCATTATCAATGATCCATTACAATGTAGTCAAGGTCAGAAAAACCAAGCCAGAAAGACATGTATAGCTGACAATCATTACATACACCTAATACAGTTTTGCTATTGCTTATATTATACAAGAAACAGATAAAACCATGAAAATTTAATTTTGACCAATGAACCACGAAAAAATGAGGTCAAGGTGACTGGTCTGATGAACCCTGCCAGACAGACATGTACACCTTAAAATCATTTCATACACCAGATATAGTTGACCTATTGCCTATAGTAACAGACCAAAACAAAAAACTCAACATTGACCAATGAACTGTGCAAATGAGGTCAAGGTCAGATGAAACCTGTCAGACGAATATGTACACCTTACAATCATTCCATACACCAAAATATAGTTGACCTACTGCTTAAAGTATCTGAGAAATGAACCTTAAATCAGGTTTAAAATTTTATAATAGCTCGAATCCCCATATGGAATTTACTGACCCCATATATACCGTATTACGTCACAAGCACACTATGTAAGAATTTATCTTACCGACTATCTTAACGTGTGAAATTTAGACTAGTCACCTATCAACATGAGCAAGTCTTCAATACCGTTAGCATTAAAAAACTACTTCCATTGATCCTACAAAAACAAAAGCCGACAATAACAACTTGTTACGTTTAAATGTGTTTTATGAATTTATTTCAATCTTTCATCATCAATTTCTTCGTCTGTTGAAACCTTTAAGATTTTTCTCAGTACCGTTTTGTTTTTATAAAGGGACGTAACACCACTACTAACCGTGTATGAAATAAGCCCCGCCTCCCTACTAACCTAATATGGAATATACATGTACGGTCTCCACGCGGACGCTTTTAACCAATCATATTCCTAGAAATGTATAGGAGGTAAGATAAATAGATGATGTTCTCTCACTAAATAACAAAAATTTGGTGACTATGTTGAACGAATCTATCCCATCGAACTAGAGATAAAGGATACTACAAATACAGTTAAGTCTGCCTCATATCTTGACTTACATCTATAAATTGACAATGAGGGTCGGTTGAAAACAAAACTTTACGACAAAAGAGATGATTTCAGCTTCCCAATTGAGGACTTTCCATTTCTATGTAGCAACATTCCAGCAGCGCCTGCATACGGAGTATATATCTCCCAATTGATACGATATTCCCGGGCTTGTATTTCCTATCATGATTTCCTTGATAGAGGATTGCTGCTCACAAGGAAGCTATTAAACCAAGAGTTCCAAATGGTGAAGTTGAAATCATCCCTTCGTAAATTTTAACTGACGCCATCACGAGTTGGTTGACCGTTATGGAATTACCGTTTCACAGATGATATCGGATATGTTCCTTATGTCGTAACTACAATACCCTTCCCTTTTCACGAATGTGACCTACCGAATTAGACTATTTACCGGATTTGTAATAACATAAGCAACACGACGGGTGCCACATGTGGAGCAGGATCTGCTTTCCCTTCCGGAGCACCTGAGATCTACCCCAGTTTTTGGTGCTTAGACTTTAGTTTTCTATGTTGTGTCATCTGTACTATTATTTGTCTGTTTGGCTTTTTGTTTTTGGCCATGGCGTTGTCAGTTTGTTTTCGATCTGTGAGTTTGAATGTCCCTCTGGTATCTTTCGTCCCTCTTTTCCAAAGATTTTCCAATAAATTTCCAGTGGAATATTATTGTTTATATTTCAGTGGAGTTTTGATTTAATGCAAATATTCCATTGTAATTTTGGACTTAGAAATTTTAAGGAATACTTCTAATCAAAAATTTTCAAATAAGTGCATGATTATAATATAAAGGATTTAATTTGTGAATATATAATTTGCTGGCCTGATAAGAAATTAAAAAATTAAATATTATAATATATGGGATGTAATGAATATTTCATAAACCTACATATATACATGTATATGAAACATTTGTTGAAAAAAGTTACATGGTTAAATGTAATATGAAATCACTTGCCTAGCAACAAATGAAAATAATCATTTGGTCTGAAAAGACCCCCCCCCCCCCCCTCCCCATAAAATAAGTAAAAAGGTATAGCTCCTCAGATGTAGGGTGAATATAATGCATCACCATATAGCCTATGCCACATTGAAAGGATGCATTTTAACTACTAAGAAATCAAATTACATGTGCAATAATATAAATAAAATTTATTCTGTTTTGAAATAAATATTTTCTATCAAATTGGTTAAGATTCTGTTTGATTTAATGGACAAAAACAATTAAGATTCTTTTTGAAAAATGTGCATTGCCCTTAAAAGGACCGTTTTTAAACAGATATGTTGCTGAAATTATCTTCAGTCTGTACGAATTGTTAAGATAACTCCGTGTTTTTCTGCAAGTGACCGTACTGGCTGCCCTGCACTACAGTCTACATGTATACAATAATATAATTATTTCTCCTTTGACTTCATCATGTCCATGTTCTGTTACTGGTCTGCTGTTCTTTTGAAAAAAATAAAGTGAACGGCTTTCATTTTCCACATTATTCTATAAACTGTTTTGGTATCTTAACCTTGTCGGTGTGATGAATTTTTCATCATTTTCACGTCCTGAACTCAGGTCACAGTTGCCGTCGATGATGACAAAACTAGAAGTTAATCTATATAGAAACATTTCACATATTATCCAGTCCAATCAATTGTACGCCTAATGTCAGTGTTTCGGCATAATTTGAGCAGAAAATTCGTGAAACTGTAGTCTATAATGTTGTTTTTCAACACACATGTTTACATCCATGGAGGCTGCCATTTTTTTCTATCAGACTATAAATATAACCGCTGATTTGATTGGATAACTCAATTTCCGGTATTTCCGATCGGCCAATCAGATCTTCGTTATTATTAATACACGGAATGTGTTCAAATTTGAAACTAAAAATATTGTACGAGTATGTATCCTGTCCGGCTGTTACATTAATCATGTAAATAATTATTAATACCCCAGAAACATTGAAAAATAAAGAAATCGACATTGAGGGCATGACATTAGCTGTTGAACCAAGAATTTACGACGAGACGATGTGCTGATATAATGCAGACAGCAGATACAGGTAATCTTTATGAGATTTTACTTTTGACTTGTTTTGGATCATGAATATTTTTAATTAAAATTAAAAAAAAGTTTTACACCCCCTTTAGTTTCATTCATGGGCTATGTCAGTTCACTCTCTGAGGATGACCATTTTGTGTTCTGAAAAGGGGGAGGTGGAAATGTGTAATAATATAATATTATTCAATATTCAATTACATTGTGTGCCTTCACAATCAAGGAAAGATGTTTACTACACAATGTCCAGCACTTTCAACTTAATTTTGTCATGTTCTATTTTGGATGGACATGCGACACAAAACAGCCATATACACATTAAGCATGGCTAAGGTTGTGCGTTAGAAGCTTTATACTTTTAAAATGAAAGAAGTTTCTTAATTATATATGTTCATTGTATGATAAATATCGGTAATATATGATGCATACATGTCATGACCACAATTAATAAAATGTTTTTACAATTTTTTTTTAGGTTGTCCATATATTAAAAGGGATTGATCATGGTGAAGGTTTGAATATCATCAACACTATAATGATACAAAGCTGCAAAAATGACGACTGTGCATCGATCAATATCCACTCTAATAATATGACATATGCAACTATTCCAGTCATAGTTACGTTCGATAACTCTGCATGTTACTGGTTTAATAAGAATTATGTCAAATTTACTGGTTACCCGTGTGATGATTAGAAAATTGAAAAATATAGATATTTCACCTCGGTTACCATCCATTCGAGGTTTTCTTTTATTGATATGAAATAATAGCATACAATAATTTCATTAAGAATCGAACAATATTAATCTACATGTACACAGGTCTTGTCAAAACTTACATCGTGATTAGGTGCCATGTTTGTTTTCTTTGATCACGTTGATGACTTAATATCTCCTCAAGTTAATCTAGCTATGTCCTTAGGTATTCTTAAAGTGACAATAACGTGTCATACTTAATTGCAATATCAACAGTGAAATCAAATTGAATTATTTGCATTGGTAAAATTAGTGTTGAACATCGTCTACGTTTCAAAATTATTTGGTCGCCATTTTTTACGAAATTTTATCAAAAAAAAAACAGCATGTATCCACTTTAACAAAGAGAAAACATGTTTGATTCTATGCTGCTTTAAGGTAAGACAATTACTGAAAACGCATGCATCCAACATTTATTCGATTTTCATCGGCCCAAGCTGTCAATGTAAACTGCATGGTTAATGCATATAAATCTTTATTTTGAGTGCGAGAGATTATTTCTAATAAATATATGAAAGAAAAGGTGAAATAAGAAATTTCTTAAATACAATAAGACACACTTCAATATATATTTGAAATATTTCTTTTTGATTAATAACTAAATGAATATACATGTCGTGTCGTTGTTTACTTCCAACAGCGGCCGCCATTTTTAAAATATTGCTAACAAATGCCAAAATGTGAACTTTTCAATCAAATTTTGAAGCAAAAAGTTTGATACCTAAACTGATATGGTTTTCGATTTCATTTAAATGCATTTGAATATGTTGTCGATCTTTTTAGGGGTTGGGAGGATATTAGTAACATTAAATAAGTTGAGAAAATTGATTATATAAGAAGGTCCCATTGCAATTTTATCGAGTTTTAACGAAGAAGTCAACGGAGGCTGTGTGGTTATGTCACCCCAATTTTAAAACTTATTTTGAAGCAAGAAATCATATATCTGAACTGAAACTTAAAACATTTTTAATTGTAAAAATGGATATATTGTAAAACGCGGGGTTGGGAGGTAAATACACAATGTAACAAAAAAGTTATGACCGTTTAATCTATGTACCCCGTTCATTTTCATTGATAATCAATCGACCATTAATGATATACAATTGAAGTGTAAAAGTCTCGTGATGACCGCAATAGTTGGATATGAAACACGATGAACACAAACGAACCAGCAGCAGAAAAGTAATTTGAGTATAAGATTACTGAAAGGTACTTATTGAATTATTTGTTCATCCTTCCCACACTTGAAATAAAAACACATTAATCATTCACATCTACAAGCTGTAAACACATCTCAAAAACATTGATCTGATCATCATGTACAATGGCTAATCATGGCTATTGTGTGAATAAAATGAAGTGTCTGGTATGCTTCAACCAGATGGCAAACCAACAACAAACACAACACAAAAAGAAAAGATAATATGAGGCCAAATAAAAAATATATGCATGGTTCCAGTTACCCTACCTACCCTACTTTTTAGTCTTAACAATAGCCTTTCCTAAAGATTTTTTTGTCATTTTTCATTAAGCACTGTTAAAGTCAGAATGTTGCTTCCATAGACTCAATGTAAAAAAAACCCCCATTAAATAAAAAATAATCCCTACCTACCTACCCTAATGTTTTTTAGATGTAAATGGAACCACACATACTATTTTATTGGACCTGAGAGAAACACCTGATCCATAAATTATAAAAGTATATTTTGATAAAAGGAGATGTGTACGTGTTGTAAGTCTAAGAGACAGCAACCCAACAACTATAGCCAAAGATATATAGAGAACACATAGTCTTCAACAATAGACATACATGTGTCTAAATTGCCCTGAGTGTATAAATGTTGTGGCTAAATTAAACAAACACTAAAAAAATATGCCAGTAACATATATTCTTGAATAATTGCAGACCATGCAGACTGAAGCATGGTATTGTAATGTTATTTTAATTCAAAATTCTATGCATGTATGATTTTTTTTCTTTCAGATTAATCAATGAAGAATTAATGGAACAGGATTGGAATGCAGAAACTTTGGACTTAATTCATGAATTATATCAATGCATGATGAAGGAAACTGACAAAGTATTTCATATGCATGTAAACTGGACATTTTTGTTTGTGTAATGCAAGAAAAAAAAATAGAAAATTTAAACCATTTGTGAAAGATTTCAAGAGGACCAAACGTTACCATGGACTTATGAATGATTTAACCGGAAAAATGATTTACATGTACAATTAAGTAAATACATCTTTGGCTAAAAATGATAAGTTATCAACATTTATATTTCAAAGAGGTTGATCTTTTCGTTTAAAAGGTCTTAAATGTGGATAATGTATAAACTGTTGTAATTTCTTTAATTGCTGACTTGCATTAAAATGGTTATTGTATTATTTCAAGTTTTCTTATTAATTCATTCAAAAATAAGCAGTGCATGCAAAATGATATCTAACATTTCAGTGGAGTTGTCAATTTCCGTTGAAATATCACTGGTTTTCTTTGGTTGATTGTTACAATTTCCAATGGAATTACCACTGGTATCCCATTTGAAAACAATAAATGTCCAATGGGAAAACAATGGTATTCCAACGACGTTTTCACTGGTATTCCAATGGAATTTCCACTGTATTCCACTCGAGTATTCACCGGAATCCCACTGGATATTCCTTTGATATCCCAATGGAAAACAATGAGTGTCCAATGAAAATCCCGACCAAATTTCCCAGAGGTAATACAGTGGTATTCCAATGGAACTCCGATGAAACTCCACTGGTATTTTCAGTGAAATCCCATTTTACATTTTCAGAAGTGGAAGCACTTTCGTAATACACTTAGACAAAGAGCTCAATCCAGTGATATACTTTGTACTACAGGTCCTTCATGAACATCCATCGACCAAAACCATATCTCAATAACATGCCATACTACATGGTTGGATCAGAAGTCCTGAAAAAGACATGAATTTTATTATCGTATTTACCGGTTAAAACTTTCACAAATTTGTGGTAAAAACATTCAGTATCTAGCAACTATTAATCGCTTCATGCACAAATTGATATAGGTTGAGTGCCCCTGTGTCGTAAATAAGAACATACCTCCACCTAATTTTAGTTAACTGATCAAGAAACATTCATAACTATAAAATGTTATCCAAGACTTGTCAGTGTCTATTTACCATCACCACTGAATCAATAATATATGTATACATATATAAGAGTAAAATTGACATACATATATAACACTAAAACTGACATTCGGTCTTTACTCCACCTTCATTCCTCAAGTCGATGTTCAAATCTGACTTCATGATAAAATAAGATTCCATATCTACAACCAATGAAACACCCCTCTAATAGACTATAGCCGCAATGAAATCACAGTTTTCTAAAATGGTAGGTGGAACCTAAAACTCAAAATATTTTAAATGATATATTTTAAATATTGCTAATATATACATTTCATAATAATTCTTCTAAAAAAATCGCTATATTTTTCCTTATTTTGTCTTTTGTTTGAGACTATATATTGACCTCTAGATGTCTTTCAATTACATCCAGGTTGGCGTGGATTGAAGTCTGATTGTTGTACATGTAATATATCGACGTGGGATTTGTTAATATAAATAACAACAATTCCCTAAAATTCAAATAAAATGGATGGAAGAAATTGAAGGCAACCGTATGCATATCACCTTCAATAAACAGCTGCGCCATGAGCGCATGATACCCTCGTCACATTTACAAAGAATAAGGTTCAATTACTTCTCAATGTCATATTAGATTGAAATTTATGAAAATCAAAAAGGGAGCTTACATCAATAGATATAAACAATTCACCAAAGTTTAATGAGAATTGCTGAAAACATTATCCGAAACTAGGAAATCCCCCCTTTTTAATATATAAAACCCCATAACTTGAAAATGTGAAATTTATAAAATTCTAAAGGCAGCAGCTTACATCACTAGATATAAACAGTTCACCAATGTTTCATGAGAACTGCTGAAAGATTTTTGAGTTATAGTCTGAAAACTGAAAAATCCCCCTTTTTTAAGAATAAACTCGGAAACGTAAAATCTAAAATGTATAAAAAAAAGAAAGGGAGCTCACGTCAATAGACATAAACAATTCACCAAAGTTTTAAGCAATTTTATTAAAGCGTTTTTAAGTTAATGTCTGACATATTGACAACGGACAGACAGACAGGCGGACAATGGTATACACTACAAACCAGTAAAAGTCTGAAATGGCCTATATCTGTACTCGACTGTACTGATTTTTACTCGACTAGTCTGAATTGGTCCGAATTTTACTCGAAATTACTCGACCCCAGTCTTAACCATACTCGACTGTACTGATTTGTACTTGACCCTTATCTTTGCCATTGAAAATAGTCTGAACTATTACTCGACCAGTCTGAAACAGTCTTAACCCATTCTCGACCTGTACTCGACCTATTTTTTTTCAGTCTAAACCATACTCGACCAAAGGTCTGAACAATACTCGACCAGTCTGAATCATACTTGACCAAATAACCTCTACTTTTTCTAAATTTTAACTGTTAAAATAAATTTCTTTTTAACTGATATGACAACAGCCACAATAAAATAAAGATATATTATAAAAACAGATTTTTACATGATTACATGATTCTCAGATTTATCGAATAGAGATAATTAAATCAAATTATCTTATATAATAATTTAATTATATTAATTTTAAAGTTTTAGAGTTTTGTTAAAATAAGATTTTCTTTTACCTAAAAACCACACTTATACTGAGGGTAATTTAACCTTATTAAGGTGCTTCTTGTTTGGCATGTGTTTTTTTTTTTAAATTAATTTTCCTAAATTCCTAAATAAAAACTACATAGGTTTCATGATTACATACAAAAAATGTACAATAGTTATATAATTATCTTTTTAATGAGGTAACAACAGCCAGCAAAATCACTGAAATTGTTTAACCTTATTTTAGAAATATATCTATTATTATTATTTTGGGATATATTATATACAATATATATCAAAAAGGGATAAAAATTAAAGAAATTAATAAAATTGTTCTTCTGATTAGTGGTGAAGTATAAAGTGATACCTCCTGCTTGGGGCAAACTCATGAAAAAGATCACACCTGGTCAGAGAGTATTAAATTCAAAATAACATTCATTCAAAATTGCAACATCCTGTGAAACTTAAATCGCAAGGCCTTTTGAAATCACTAGATAAGTAATACACGAGTTTAAGAAAAATAGGGCTTTCTTTTTACCTGTAAAGCACACATGTACTGAGGTAATTAAACCTTATTAAAGTGCTTCTTGTATGCCATGTCTTTAATTTTGACAAAAATTATTTAAATTTAATTGAAATAAATTTTTACTGTAACTTTGGAACACATTTCCTTTTTTAAAAGTTTATCACAGGATTACTATGGAAGTTCTATTATCATGATTATATTAAATTCTTGGTTTAACAAAACAAAGGTGTCATTTTTTAAATTTATTAAGTTGCTTTATATGCCATTTTAATATATATTTCAATAAAAAAAATGTTCACTGCATTATTAACTAAACTCAACTGACACCATAAATCTTAAGTTAATGGTAAAAATTGTCCAGTAACCATACAATATATCTGAAATATTCAAAAAATTTTGAATAACATTGAAAATATTAGTCACAATTCAGTTTTGAGATTATTTGATCAGCTTGTTTTATTTTTATTTTAAAGGTGATATATATGTATGTATATAAGTGTTGATGAATATGGTGATGAAGTTATATTATGTTTATTGTGAAATTTTGGTTTCAATGCTATATTGAATACATTTTTAATTTCAAATTGTTGTTCAAATTTCTAAGCCAGGGGGAAATAGCTGTTGTTAAAAACAGTTCCTAAATTGATGAAATACAATAGACAGATACAAAAAAATAGGTCGGGGTTGGTTAAGACTTGGTCGAGTATGGTTCAGACTAGGTCAAGTATGGTTCAGACTAGGTCGAGTATGGTTCAGACTAGGTCGGGCATGGTTCAGACGCGTATAAAATGGTTAAGTACTGGTCGAGTACAAGTTCAGACTTTTAAGTATGGTTCAGACTACAGTCGAGTATTATCAAGTATATTTCAGACCAATTCAGACTGGTCGAGTAAAAATCAGTACAGTCGAGTACAGATATAGGCCATTTCAGACTTTACTGGTTTGTAGTGATACCAGTATACATCCCGTAAACAGGTGTATAAAAATGAAAAAAACCCATACTGTATATTCTGCTGTAAAAGAGCCCAACATGTTTATATTGGGATTTAGTTTATATTGATATAAAGATTCAAGATTTATTAAAAAAAAAACCTTTCATGACATCATAATTATTTGCATTTGTTCTGTTGATTGATAGTGGTACATGTATGAGGACTGGGATGAAATCAATTATATATAGTGCTGATCAACAGTTTCATGGTAAGTAAGTTGTAGTAGGTTGTTTGAAGTTTGCAGTATATTCAACTTTGAACATCTTTTTCAGGTCTGCAATCCATATAAAAATCAGTATATGTCATATGCCAATGAGACAACTAATATATATGATTGCCAATGAGCATGATAAGACAACTATCCACAGAGGTTCAAATGACATAGCAATTATAGGCAACCATGCATACAGCCTTCAAAAATGAGGAAAACTGTCCCAACATGAAAAGTATGCATCAATACAATTGAGGAGTAATGGCCTGATTCACAATTCCACTAATAAACAGGTTGGGAACATCCCCCCCCCCCCCCAAAAAAAAAAATTTAAATGAGGGATATTTTGCGGTTTAATAAAAAGGAAAAACAGATGTACATGCAGCCTTTTTAACTTATAAAGGGGGGATTCATTACCATAGGAACAACTTTTCTAAAAGATGATTCCACTTATTTTCAATAAATAATAAATAGTGAAATGTATCTCAGGCATCTGGGAACAGACTCAACAGTACAGCTATACATGTATTAATATATTCCAAATTGAGGAGGCATTTGGGAACTGACTCAACAGTATTTCTATACATGTATTAATATATTCCAAAATGTGGACAAACCCGACATCAAATGTTCTACTTGAATGACTTTAGTGGATGAGATCAAATTAAAAAGAGCCAGTGGTGATATACTCCAATGGCAGTCTTTCCTGCTAAAATGTCATGTGTAGAACGTGATACCATTTTTAGGACTATATACTTTCCTTTATATTTAGGTCATTTTGACATAGCAAATTATAAAGAAAACGTTAACTATCGGGGAATTGAGTTCTTTTTCACAAAATAAACCCACTATAACTCAACTTGAATGCAAAAGACCCTTAAATGGCTAACAGATATTGGTATAAAGAATAGTCCATGAGGATTCTTTTTAAGAGTTCATGAAATATAAACAGATTACGTCAGTTGAACGGACTAGAATGAGATTAGATATGTAACACTCCCAAACGTGTCCTTCCCCCCAAACGTGTCTATTCCCCCCCAAACGTGTCCGTAATATTCAATGTTGCCCAAACGTGTCCGATTTCATAACCCCCAAACGTGTCCGATAATTGTTATTCGCCAAAACGTGTCCACTGTTAAACGCCAGAACGTCTCACGTCTTTTAGCGCTAATACATATATGTCCTAAATGAAATCAATAACGTTTACGGCAATTCTATGATGGGGGGAAACAGTTGATGAGGTAGTAATTTATTAGCATTAGTTTGTTCAATACCGGTTGTTAATGATTATCATAATTGCAAATTTAATATGTAACATATAAATTAACTTTTGACTGAATTTGCTTATTGTCCAGTTGCAAGTATTTCATGCTCATTTAGAGCGAACATACAAATAATTCTAGTGCAATTGAATTAATCATTTACTATGTAAATTATGTGTTACTAATAAACTCCGATGGTGCCTTTTATAAATCCGACGGCGGGCTTTCAGAAGAATTGACTTCCCTTTTTTCAATAGTTCTGATATTTTAAAAGCTCTTCAAATCATAAACTGGTTTTCAGGTTTTTTAATAAATTTTAGGTTCCGAGCATCACTAAAGACGCACGAACAAGAGAAATAACGTCCAGTGCCAAATATTTCATGCATTATTTGAACGACATCATGTTAACAATAAATACTGTATATAGGTTCTATTATCATACCGGGAATTTAGGATTGGTCCTAAATTTTGACGGTTATTTGGGATCAATATTAGTTGGGATTTTAATTTTAAAAAATAAGAGCAAGTGAAGACCGATTTTTTTATGACTTCAGTAAGAAACTACTGCAATCTCCGTTATGTAATAGAGGCCGTTTTAAATAAAAGTTGCAGAAATTTAAAAAAAAAAATGTTGCCTTCCAAAATACAACTGATGGCACCATGAAAGAGTGAATTGCTACAAAGGTTTTAATGCGCAGAGAATGGGACATTCTCCCTACACGAGGTATCTGATTTAATATCTACAATTTAACTGAGCATGGCTGCTTAAATTTACATCCAACATAGCCGAACGGACGCCCCCACTTTTAACCAGGTTATACTGCCGGTTTAAAAAAGACCTAAAGTAATTTATTTCTATTTTTAATGAAATAATAAAATCAGTATACGTTAATGAAAAAACAATAACTAAAAATAACCTACGTACTTATAATATGGACATGAATGATAGTTCCAGTAAAAGAAAAAATTAAGCTTGATATGGACACGTTTGGGGGATTGGGCACGTTTGGGTGTTTATTGAAAAATGGACACGTTTGGGCGTTTATACAAATGACACGCTTTGGCGCCCTTTTATATTAAGACTTGTTTTGCAGTTCAGTGGCGTCATGTGGACACGCTTGGGGAATCGGACACGTTTGGGGGGAAGAACACGTTTCTGAGTGTTAACTGAGTTGTAAAATATACATTGCAGTAGTATATACATAAAGGTCTTTTCAACAGTTGTGGTGTAAATCAGTTATATTTTTAGGTTGACATATATATATATACTTCAAAATTCAAGAGTCTATCCTAAATTGAGATAAATTGTATGGCTTAACAAATACCGTTTCGATTCCTAACATCACTGAAGAGACATTAATTGTCGAAATCCGGATATGGTGTACAAAAACCTTTGCACCTTTTGTTTGCGGTATACCATCGTTTCCGCAAGTTTATTGTTTTCTGTTTAGTATTAAATTTATAATTAAGATCCATTTATTACATCGGTGATCCGTTTTTTTTGGCAATCGCCAATGGCAGTCAGCAGGGTTTAAGAACATTTGTTGTTCGACCTTAGTCAAATGTGTTTTGTTAAAATATACTTTTTCACTTTTCTTTTGGAAAATGTTGTTTATGCTGTATTTAGACCCATCTAACAAGAAATTTGTTTTGCATGCACACGCATAAAAATTGCGGTTTTTTATCCAACGCAATCATAGGTTTGAACGTTGTTTTCAATTTAGACTTACGTATATATATGTAACCAGTCTAAAAGGGTACAACATCACCAAAAAATGACAATAAACGAACAAATGTAACTATAAATATTTCGGATAACAGATATCCTTCATCAGTATGAGCACGATGTAAAATGAATCAGATCAATCTATTCTGATTATAAAACTATAGCAATCTTGAATTCTATACAATAAAAAAAGTGAAACAGTTTCACCCGAACATCATATGTAGAGACGCTAATAACTTTTTAAAAATATCCAAAAAACGACTCAAAGACATGCCTAAAATGAAAATAGTAATTAGAGATATGAACTGGCACAACTCTAAAATTCCAAAATGACGTATACATTCCCAAAAAAAAGCACTGATCAATATAATCTGGTAAAATATGTCAAACAGAGGCTGCGTATTTATCATCCCAAATAAATAGCAGTTTTATAATGAAAAGAAAAAAATAATAGTGAATTTGGGCTAAGGTTAAAAATTGGACGTGGATGCGTACTTGTACATCCCTACCATATGAAAAGAACCCTGGTATTTAAACTAGTAAAATTCAAAAAATTCCAAAAGAATCCTTAAAACTGTAAGAGTCAAGTAAGGAAGCCGGAGTAACTGGAAACAAGTGATGTCAGGAAAATGAGTGATGGTAGGGAAAATGAGTGACTCATTCTATGTTTTTTCATTTATGCCCTCTGGGGAAACTGTCCTTAGCTTTCTTATCCAAAACCTTTCCCGAGCAAGTCTTTCGGCCCTTGACCAACCCTCGTTGTGGTCTATGATTGTGATTAAAAGGTTTTTGAGATCAGTTTGGGCGTGCCCAGGTGATCTCAAAAGACGACTTACGGGGAGGTCGGGCTTGCAGGTGTAGTCATTTCGATGACCATTCATGCGTTTGTTGAATGGCTGTTCTGTCTCGCCAATATACTGCATGACATATCGACACTGACGAAGGTATACAACATTCTGTGTTTTGCAAGTTATATCACAAAATAGTGTACACAAACCCAGTGGAGTGGCAAGTAAATGATTGAGTATTCAGTATTTGCAAGTCAGACATCGTCTGAAGAGGCGCAGCAAAATAGTTCCGTTTGTTTTAACATACAATCCCGCCTTTACTAACCTTTCACGTTTGATCCGTGCCAATTGGCAAACTATTGCCAAGCACCTAAAATTGTCCAAGATCTTTCCCAATCCTCCTGTCTTAGCTTTTCGGAGACCAGCAAGTCTGAAAGACTTATTTGTGAGAGCTGACGTCTCTTCTAATAAATGCTGTTCAACTGCAGGATGGTGCAATTCGTGTGGTAACATAAGATGTCTGACTTGCCAACAAATACTCCCCGTAAGTCGTCTTTTGAGATCACCTGGGCACGCCCAAGCTGATCTCAAAAACCTTACAATCACAATCATAGACCACAACGAGGGTTGGTCAAGGGCCGAAAGACTTGCTCGGGAAAGGTTTTGGATAAGAAAGCTAAGGACAAATTCCCCAGAGGGCATAAATGAAAAAACATAGAATGAGTCACTCATTTTCCCTACCATCACTCATTTTCCTGACATCATTTGTTTCCAGTTACTCCGGCTTCCTTACTTGACTCTTACAGTTTTAAGGATTCTTTTGGGATTTTTTGAATTTTACTAGTTTAAATACCAGGGTTCTTTTCATATGGTAGGGATGTACAAGTACGCATCCACGTCCAACTTTTTAACCTTAGCCCAAATTCACTACTATTTGTTCTTTTCATTATAAAACTGCTATTTATTTGGGATGATGAATACGCAGCCTCTGTTTGACATATTTTACCAGCTTATATCGATCAGTGCTGTTTTTTGGGAATGTATTTACACGCAGTTGTTGTAACATCTTAACTGACGTCATTTTGGAATTTTAGAGTTGTGCCAGTTCAAATCTCTAATTACTATTTTCATTTTAGGCATGTCTTTGAGTCGTTTTTTGGTAATTTTTAAAAAGTTATTAGCGTCTCTACATATGATGTTCGGGTGAAACTGTTTAACTTTTTTTATTTTATAGAATTTAAGATTGCTATAGTTTAATAACCAGAATAGATTGATCTGATTCATTTTACATCGTGCTCATACTGATGAAGGATATCTGTTATCCGAAACATTTATAGTTACATTTGTTCGTTTATTGTCATTTTTTGGTGATGTTGTACCCTTTTAGACTGGTTAAATGTTATATTTTGTAGTGTACTGTATCATATTTATATGATCCATCGCCCCGTAAGATTTATCGTTGGCTATTATTCAGTCATTTAATATATATATATATATATATATAACTATTCATCAGCTAAAGTTAGAGGAGGGGATAAGGTGTCTGCGCAATGCTAGGCGGTGTTGTCGTAGAAGTATGAAGTGAAAAGTACAGGTTCCAGCCTCGGACGGGGAGGAAGTAAAGAATCAAATCTACTCTTACATTGTTAGGTTGATTTTCTAGGCACTTTATATATATATATATATATAAACAAAAGTCAAATAGAATCCGTATGCTGGTAACATATAAGAAAAATAATATAAGATAATGACGGTTTCAATTCATCACTTTTACTAGCGCTTTCACTGCTTTCACAGATCTTCAGGTAATGTGACTTGTATACATAAATGTTATAAAACAATTGATTGACGTTAACAATAGTATGACGTTAACAAATACAAGGGAGACTACTTATGTCATTTTAAAATTAGAGTAAAGTCTTTAAAATGTTTCGTAAAAATTAAAATATTATTTATCATTTAATCCCGGGTTGAGAATGTTTATGAATAATTCTTCTTTCTTCTTCCGGAGAAAATCATTTTGACGATTGACCATATACAACCGAAATATTTTAAATCGTCCATTAGAACAACGATGGAAATGGTCGTTAGCCCTGATGATTGTTAAGAGTCATTCTCTGTAAGCATCAAAGAATTACAAAGAAAATGAGAAATGCATACTCCAGGATTTCCTTTATTTTTACATCAGAGGTTTGTTATGGTGCACTAACAACAAAAATAACTTTCATTCAGAGAGTTGAAGTGTTGGTTGCCATGGAAACAAGAAACTCCGAATTTGCTTGAAAAACGTCAAATATGCTCAATGAAAAGTCAATATTTTCATGTTTTTACCACTTTTATTGCAACAAAATCTGAAAACATATTGCCATTGTTTCTTTTTCTATTCAATAACATATATAAATGTTACAAAATAACATTTGAATGTTTGGAAAATTGTTTCAACTTATATAAAAATTTTCAATTTAAAAATCTGAGGTTTTTACAGAAATCATGATTAGCAAAAATTCACAAAAAAACTCATCTTTATGGTTTAAAAAATTTTTATTCCGGATTTTGTGGCATAAACTGATATATACACTTTGTAATATTGCATCTGGTGCATTCTTGACAAAAATATCCCAGAGGGTATATTTTTTGTTTTTTTTTAAATTTTGATTGAAAAAAGGTCATTTTTGATTTTTTTTTTTTTTTTTTTTTAATCCTTAAATACATTTCCAAACATATACAGGTCAATTTTGTAATTTTTTCATATCAAATGATCATCTTTGTTCAAGAAATGAAAATAAAATAATAAACACACATTGAATGCTTCAATAAGTCAATAATAATTAAATATAAATATGAAAAATGGTGATTTTATCCTTCAAATGACCTTAATCTTTCGACCTTTTCCTTACATTTTCTAATTAACCAAACAGACATATATTGTAAATGCAAGGGGTTGGAAATTGATTGAAATTGAATGGTGAATATCAAACTTAATATTAAGCTTTCAAAAAATTGCCTTTTATTCTCAAATTGCAATCTGCCAATCTGAAAATTCTTTATTATTAATTTTCATTAATGAAAAGCCTACTGTTTTAAAGATACGCTATTGGCCAATGACCTTTCTCCAATATTGCATACCAACCAAACAGTATTCTAGGCTTTAATTCAACATAGTAACATTAAGAACTTGTAGTTTAGATTTAAAAACATAATTTTTCAATTCTTCAAATCTCATTTACAGCAGTAGTTACAACTTTATTTATAATAAAATAAGAAACAAATATTTCCATCCATAAAACAAAAATTATGAATTGGATTGGTTTTATAATTATTCTTAGATTAATAGTTTGTATGAAACAAATTTGATATGACTGTATTATAATTATGTTGTTGAAGAATATCAAAGGCAACACCCTAACTCGATTAAATCATGAAGAAATTTGTTGTTCATTTATAATTTTTTGGCAGTAGGGTTGATGGTTTGGTTCACACAATTTTTGTAAAGATCATAAAATTCTATACATGCAAATTGTTAATTCAATAAATTAAAAAGATATAACGCATATTATACAATGTTTTTCTTTTAAGAAAAAAAACCAAGACAATAGATTTAATTAAGGTTAATAATGGGAGTAATAATAACTACATCAATGATTGATTGTTGAAGCTTACATTCAAATCAATATTTTTCAATAATTTTGAATCATATATTCCAAAAGTTTGACAATTGTCATTTGAATTTGAAATTATTACATGTGTATTATGCAGAATATGAATTAAAAAATAAATTCCTTGAGTTAAGTTAACCTTGAATATTTTGTCATCAAGAAGAAGTGTTCTTTGTTACATATTGTAAATTTTGCAACTATAAATTTGTGAAGGCATGGATAATTATCTTATTTCTAAGCAAGTTTCAATAGCTAATGCTAATCATGATAATGTTTGGTTACAATTATTGTGGGCATAACTTATTTCTTTTCAAAGTATTTGCAGATATTTATTATAATTGTACAACTGCTTGTTAGGATCATCTATTTTCTACAAACCAAAAATCAGATATTTTGCATATTTTGCATAATGAAACAGCCATAGTAAATGTTAATTAAGATTGTTATTGGAAACTTTGCTGTAGTTCCGAAATAACCAGCTCCCTTGCAGCATCACTTTTTCTTGCATGCCGTGAAAAAAAGCTCATTATCTGTTGAGGGGTAAGAAATTCCTCCATTCTAAGCATTTTACTTCCATCTGGGTTTGTAGAAAATTTCATTGCTTCTGATACATTTTCAGGATCTTCTTTGTGACCACATACTATTCCGTTGTTAAATTTGTCAATAAGGAATTGCTTTTGCTTATCATTAAATCTCACATTTTTTCTTCCTTCCTTCAAAGACCAGCCCATCTGCAATACATTGGGAGAAACAGATAGTGATGTTGTTGAGGCAATTTCTATGTTATTCAAATTAAAATGGGATTTATTTAATTTTTCAACGTAAAGACTAACTGCTTCAACTTTTATTTTTTTCTCATTTTGATTTTTTTGTGTACATAAATCAGGCCCTTCATTTTCTTATTAGACTAATTTAACATTTATCATTTAGGGCCCTTTAAAGCTAACTATATGTGATTTGGGTTTTGCTTCTTGTTGAAGGCCATAGAGTGACCTATTGTTGTTAACTTCTTTGTCTTTTGGTCTCTAGTGTAGAGTTTTCCCATTGGCAATCATACAACATTTTCTTAATTTCATATAAAACACAATATGACCTACTTTCTTCATTTGTGATGCAGTCACAACATCATGACCCTGGTTAAGGAAACGTCTTATTCCAGACTTTAGTGTAGCAGCAGTGCGATCACAAGCACCTTTACCATCCTGTGCTTCACAAAAGTTATATGAGGTAACTTCTCCGCTATGGAACAGTGCACTGATTGTTTCAGTGCTTTTATAACATCCTGCATTGTCAGACCATAAATGCAATCCATCTATCTGTGGATACTTTTCCTTCACACTTCTGATAGTGTCTAAGATGACAGCACTGGTAGTACGGGAATCCTGCGATATTTGATTTTGAAATATGTGGACAAATCCAAGACTTTCTAAATCATTTTCTGTTTTGTGAAATACTATACTAATGTGCCAATTAATACCCCTCTTGGCAAACCAGTTGCTTTGATCCTCTCGGTACCTTCTGGGTAGATATTTCATTGCCCAATCAAATACTATGAACACCTCTGAAGCTGACATATTTTCTAACAGTTTAGATTTTGCACCATCTAGATTTCGAGATCTTACAATGTGTTGCTTCCAGCTGTTGATGCTGATGACTGCCTGATTGATTTTGTATCTGTATATATCTTGATCATCTATAGTTTCTTCTTCAATCAAATGTTGGACAGAACTAAGAAACTCGCTGATTTGTTCACAATTCTGGCAAACACTGTCATGTTCTGGCAAACATTTTGAATTGAAATTCTGGTCTTTATGATCTGATAATGCAAATACTTTGCAGTGGTCTGGTACTGTAGACTGACTAGATATATGAACCTGTAATATCAAAGAACCCTTTTTAAGTAAATAAACACAGAGATAAGTATTGCCTTTTTATTATTTAATGCAAATGCAAAAGATGAAATTATTTGAATAGCAATACTTGTAATTTATGCAAATATTCAAAGTCAATAAACCATGACTGAAGGTACAAGGCTAAACATCTCCATGGAAATGAGATGTGCTCAAACTTGCCGTGAGGCTAGATTTGTTTTTGCTCCGTGTTTAAGGCCTCATTGTGACTGAGATAAAGAACGACAATGTGAGCGTGTTTCCTTGCTTTTTGTGCGCTTTTTTGCTGTGCATGTACTGATTTTGTATCATGGATGGATAAAATATCCCTTGTTTTACTATAATGCTAATACAACTGAATATCAAATACTGAAACATACATTCATGTATAATAAACTTTAGTTTCAAGTTAAAACAAACTACCCTAAACAAATACTTTACTCTTCCTTACACAACAATTGGTGTTTTGCCTGTTCCCACAAATCCAAGAAAATTGGTATCCAACAAATAATAATGAATTTGCAGTACATTTAAATTGGACAGAAAATATAAATAGGCTATATATCAAGTTATTTCTAATTTCTATGAAAAGGCTTGAATTTAAATTCAGTTTGATATATATGTGAATAAAATACTTGAAATAAAAAAGAAAACAGAACCCTATAGAACATTCAAAATTGCAGTGTTTAATTATCAAATCTTGATATTTTAATTAAAACACTGAAATTACCTTGTAATCAGTTTTCAGGTATCTTTTGCACTCAAGAAGGACATCCATATGGCGCTTGAATACTTCTGCTGATAAATCTCCAGTTCGTCTCAGTTCCTCTAAAAATATCTGTATGTCCTGAAAAGCCCTAACGCCCTCAGCAATGTAATAGTCCAGACCTTCCAAGGATTTCCTCACTGTTGCAGCACATTCAGACAGAATTTTGAACATGGTACTATCTCCTATACAAAAATAATTTCACTAAAATTAATTTCTTTGAAATGATCGTAAAGGATGTGATAAATGTAATGTTTGCCACTGACCTCTGATATGAAACTTTATGTATGCAATGCAGGTAAACTTTATCAAAATACTTTTAGTGATATAAGGAACAAACCCTAGTTGGTTTTTAAAAATAAATATTTTGCAACATTGTATCATATAACAGCTTTTTTTATAAACATGATAAGAGACATTTAAACTACATTTTTACAACGCTCTGTTTGATTCTGTATGCAATAAATGTTCATTTGACTGCACTTATTTAAACAAAAAAAACTCTCTTCAATGTAAAAGTGTTTTTAATTGATTAAGTGATTATATAAAAGATTTTATAGGGTTCATTTTGGACGTTGGTTTAGTGTATGCATGTGATAACAAATTTGTAATAATTCTATTCATAGGAGTATTTTTGTTCAAAGTTTTGACACAACTTTGGCTTCTTTTGTAATTTTTTACCTAATGGCGTTACTTCATTCTCACTACAGTACTGCTTAAACTGGTCAATAATTGCTGCTGGTGCCATGCATCGGATAACATTTGGTGTATCAACTGATCTTCCATCAGCTAGCTTCAGTTTCCTCTCTCCGAAAGGAAGATCCTTTATAATATGAGACGATGTGATAAAATCCAAGAAATTATCCAACTTGGATGGATCCATTCTCTGTCTGCCTTTGTTGCCCTGTTCTGGTGGTAATGCACAACCTTGTACACTTGCATGTTTTTTAGCTGTATAATATCGGTATTCTGTCAAACCATCTATAAGTTCACATGTGTTTTTAAAACTCAGTTTTTGACAAATAACTGATAGAATCTGTCTTCTCACTTGCCAGGAATCTGTAACTTTGTAAGATTCAACCAAAGCTTGACATAACTCAACATCAGAATTCACATCAGTTTCCTTATCAATCACTTCAGAAGCCTTCAGAATTTCTTTAAGAATTTCATCACTTTCATTTGGAAACATTGTTTCAGTGACAGCAGTGAAACATGAAAACAGTTTATGTACAAATGATTTCTTTGTTTTCTGACTATATGTTCCCCAGGCATGTTGTGGTAAAACTAATGGCTGAATTCCTTTGGTCTTTAAAAAATCATTAAGCTTAGTGAGACTATCTGTTTGCAAATAAGTTTGCTGACTACTGAAGGGAGATTCCTAAAATTAGAAAGTGTATATGAAAATGTATAGTCTAATATTTATCAATTATGGACTTTTGACAAGGTCAATACATTATATATGGACCTGTTCAGATTATATTGACCGAATCAATATAATCTAACAGGTCCATATATAACACATTGACTGAGTGAAAGTCCTTAATTTATATATTACATGTGTAAATAATGTATAAGAAAAATGGTGTTCAGTGTTCATTCGGTGTAATTTTAAAATATATTTTGCAATAATTTTAACATGTTATTGAAAATATCAATATTTTTTTAACAACTTCGAATCATAGCTTGTTGCATTATATTCTAATCCTACTTTTGTATAACATAAAACTTTATTAGCATTAGCATCCCAAGTAAATGCATTATCCAAATGATTATGACAACATGGAAGATGACAGACCTGCACCATTTTTTATCACTTATTTGCATGGTTGTATTATAAAAGATGCATACATATTTATATATGATGATGTAGGAATATATAAAACAAGAAATGATTGTAACAGGATGCTGTTACGAAGTCTCCCAAACGAAGCGCCAATAATTCATAATTTCCAGGGTTGCCTGACAGTGAAAATTGGTTTGGTCCAGTAAAGTTATATGCATGAGTGATGCCTGGGGACTAACCCTGTATATCATTCAAATCATCTTGACATGACAAACCAGAATATATATGGTTTAGGGGTGGGGATCTCGACCATTTACAAGATACTAGAACATTGGGGGTGGGGGGACTGACCCTATACGTCATTCAAATGTTTGAGACATGACGAACAGAAATATATATGGTTTAGGGGTGGGGATCTCAACCATTTACAAGATATTAGAACATTGGGGGTGGAGGGAACCCCTGGGGACTGACAGTATACATCATTCAAATGTTCAAGACATGACGAACAGGAATATATATGGTTTAGGGGTGGGGATCTCGACCATTTACAAGATATTAGAACTTTCTCAAATGGCAGGGGGTCGGGATGACCCCTGGGGACTAACCCTGTATATCATTCAAACCATCTTCGCTTGACAAACCAGAATATATATATGGTTTAGGGGTGGGGATCTTGACCACTTACAAGATATTAGAACTTTCTTAAATGGCATGGGGTGGGGGTGACCCCTGGGGACTAACCCTGTATTTCATTTGATGTACTTTATCGTGACAAACCAGAATATATATGGTTTAGGGGTGGGGATCTCGACCATTTACAAGATATTAGAACTTTCTCAAATGGCATGGGGTCGGGATGACCCCTGGGGACTAACCCTGTATATCATTCAAACCATCTTCGCTTGACAAACCAGAATATATATGGTTTAGGGGTGGGGATTTTGACCACTTACAAGATATTAGAACTTTCTTAAATGGCATGGGGTGGGGGTGACCCCTGGGGACTAACCCTGTATTTCATTTGATGTACTTTATCATGACAAACCAGAATATATATGGTTTAGGGGTGGGGATCTCGACCATTTACAAGATATTAGAACTTTCTCAAATGGCAGGGGGTCGGATGACCCCTGGGGACTAACCCTGTATTTCATTTCATGTGTTTTATCATGACAAACCAGAATATATATGGTTTAGGGGTGGTGATCTTGACCACTTACAAGGTATTAGAACTTTCTTAAATGGCAGGGGGTGGGGTGACCCCTTGGGACTAACCCTGTATTTCATTTAATGGGCTTTATCATTTAGAACATTTTCAATTAAAAAGATTGTGTCTATCACAAACGGTTTTCAATTTATAATCATTTGAAAATTTAAAAAAATAAAATCTGATAGGGTTCTATAGTTAAACCCTCTTTTCTTTTTGCCCCTCAAAGTACCCCTTTATAAACCCCATTGCACAAACAAAACCCTGATTGCACCACTAGACATGTTAGTCTAACATATTGTGAAACCGTAGGTTAATCTGACAAGTGGTTTTGGAGAACGGGTGTGGACAAGTTCAAATTTAAAAGCGGCGGAAGAAGAAGAAGAAGAAGAAGAATAATAATAAGAACTGAGCAAAAACAATAAGTCTTCCCAAACTTCGTTTGGGAGACTTAATTAAGAAGCTACCAACTCTACTTACATGTGACTCTAAACTTTGAGAGAAGTTGATATGGTCTGTACTTTCAATATCAATGACATCATGAAGGACCTGTAAAGAGCATTGAAAAATAAAACAAAAAATATTGATTTAACATTTGGTCAGTGGGCATGTTTTATTTCAATTCATGATAAGCAGTGGTGCTATCTCTCTTTATAAAAACAAAACAAGTAAGTAGTAGAGTTATGTTCCTTGAAAACACACTGCTTTACGCACCAAAGATTTAATTTTGAAAGTCTTCAAGATATAGGTTTAAGTATTAGAAATACATAATACAATAGTTCTGTATACAAAATATTAGTGACCTGTTGCTTATTGAAAAAAACATCCCAGACAAACACACAAAAATATTAACATTGACCACTGAACCATGAAAATGAGGTCATTATAAGTCAGTTGATACCTGCCTGACATATATATAAGAACCTTACAATCATTCCATACACCAAATATGGTTTACCTACTGCTTATAGTATTCGAAAAACTTAACAATGACCAATCATGAACATAAGGTCAAGGTAAGATGTAGCTTGCCAGACTGACATGTACCCTTTATCATTATTTTATACACCACACATAGTTGACCTACTGCTTCTATACAAAGAATATCACCTAATCACATAACTTGAACTTTGATTAATAATCCATGAAATGAGGTCATGGTCAGGTGAACTAATCGACATGTTGTTGTTGCAAGGAACTCACTAACCACATATAGTTATCCTATTACTCATAATAAGTAAAAAATTCACATCACAAAAACACAATTGTATTTTTTCAAGCAGATGCTGAATCATGACAGACTGAAAGCACCGCACAGTTTTCCTTATGTCTCGTGTACTGCAATTTTCATCACAGGCGAGACAAAAAACAGTGTTGTTCTATCTGTGAATGAGCAAAGTGCTAGCCAAATGTTAGTCCGTTAATTAGGATGCCCAAATCAAATTTTCTTCATTACTTTCCAATTTCTAGAAAATTATTCATCAGACTTGATAGGCCATCCAAGCACCCTAAAATTTGGGTAGGAAACAAAACTTACAATTTTTGGTTTATTTTCTCTAAGGTAATAATGAAAATCTTCTGAACTTGTGTGGTCTCTTTTCTGTGAAAGTTCAGTCACCTGGAATAAATAAATGCATGATACATACAAATTGCTTACAGTGACGTTACCGACATATATCACAACTGTTTTTAAAGTTCTATATTTTAATCTACTATTCTTATAAGAAACAATAATTCTCTTGCAACAAAGGGAGTTAAAATTTCAACTTTTTTTTTTTTTTTAACATTGATCATTGTGGTTAAATTCATATCAACTGAAGTTAATCAATTTTTTACTGTGGTAATGACATGAAATTGTTAATCTGATCAGATGAACAATTACAACACAAATGTTGACAGACTTATAATTTCTTATTCTTCACCTGTTGTCATTAGTTATTATTGTTTTTGCTTACACAAATACCACAAATTATGTACATATATCATTCTGCTGTGTAAGGTTCAATTCAATGCCCGTTCTGAACATGCATGAACTATTTGTCACTGGATGCAACTAACAATCAATCATCCAAATAATTAAATGCAGACTATATCTTTATATATATTTTCATGTGTACAGATGTTAATGTAATGTCTTTAGATGGCAACAGTCTTTGATTGTTTGCCTCTTGAAACTTTAAGGTTAATACTCCTTTTGCCCTTCAAAATAGTATGTGATGCCGGGAATTATACATTTGTTTTTAATAATGTAACTAAAACAATTGATATCACAAGGAAAACTAACTGATAATAGACCACAACTATGACATTATAAGAATCTTCAACAATTACCAATAACTTATGGCAGTCACATAAATCATAATAAATTGCAAACATCACCATGAAAAGGGACATAACTCCAATCTTCAAAAATTCTTGTTTACTTACAAATTTAAAATTTTAAAACATTTTTTACACTTAATTCTTTTATTACCTGCTGTTGCATTCTTCTAGACATGGTATCTTCTATAACAGGTATCCTGTCTTCAAATTCAGAATCCTGCATCTTCAAAAAATGTATTAATTAATTATATATACATAATAATATAATCTTCTAAATTAATGAACAAACTTTTTCCTTTAAACTGCTTTCATAATCTAATAAACAAACAGCCCATTTATACATTTAACCTTCATGTGTAACTGCAGTAAAAGTATTCTTTTAATTACTGTTTTGAAAATAACTGACAGGAAATATTTTAAGTGATGCCTGACATAGCTAATGTTTTACACCAGATATGTAATAGAGGATTTAAAATTGTTGATAAAAGTAATAAAAATACAATATGAACATTCTCAATGTGCCTGTCCCAAGTCAGAAGTCTGAAATTCAGTGGTAACTGTATATATATATGTACATCATATTTGTTTTTTGTTCATTGTTTGAACATAAATCAGTTTTCTTGTTTGAATTGATTAACATTTCTCATTTTAAGGCCTTTTATATCTGACTTATGTGGTATGGGTTTGTTCATTGTTGAAGCCCATACAATGACCTATAGTTGTTAACTTCTAAGTCATCAGGTCTCTGGTGGAGAGTTGTCTCATTGACAATCAAACCATAGCTTCTTACTGAGTATTCGAGATATGGATTATAAAATAAAATAAAATACATGTAAGATTGGAAGAAAAACAATAATAAATACCTTCAAATGCTGATCAACAAACGACGGCATCTCATCCATATCTTTGATTTTGACTTTACATGATACACAGGAAGCTGAAAGAAAGAAAAAAATAAATATTTTTTTACAGTACATGAAGTAAAAAATGTTCATGTACATAGTAATTTCAATAACATTTGCATCAACTATTGATTGATAATCAATTATGCTGAGGATAAATACAAAAATATAACATTGTCATTGAATCAGAAACAACAAATAGTTAAAATGCATAGAAAACTTACATGTAAAACTAGCTTTAATACATGTGTTTTGAATTGGCACACATGTAAATTTTTACAGAATTATTGCAAAAAGAGCTTACATTTTTAATGACATTATGCCAAGTGTAACATTGAAAGTGCCTGTTTTATTAAATACATTAGTATTTTGGATTGAATTGTTTCATATTTTTTATGTTGCGCCTCTTATAGCCAACAATGGGGGCATGAATTTTTCTCATTGTTGAAAGCCGTACCGTTGACTATAATTGCTTACATCTTCTTTATTTGAACTTTGGTTGATAGTTGTCTCAATGACACTCAATCATTCCACATCTCCTTTTATTTTTATGTATAGAATAAATACTTCTGTTATTTAAAAAACAAACAATACCATACAAGTGCCAGAACAACCTAGTAATTCAACAATGCATGTAGCGCAACAGTGAATAATGAATATTTTAAGTCAAAGTTGAGAATTGAGACAAGAAAACTCATCACTGACATCAGTGACTCTCAGATAAAAAAAGGTAAAGTGCAAAGTTTTAGAGCATTCAGGACCTGAAAGTTTTGTCAAATCTAAATGAGGTAATACAGAAAAACCTGAAAAATAACTAAAATTAAAAGAAAGAAAAAATAACAGGTTTTCAAAAAAAAAAGGGGGGAGGGTTAAAAAATATGGTCCTATCCTCAATTACATTAACCTCAATAACTTCATTTAATATTATTTACTTACGAGTTCCAACAGGTAAAATGATACCAAGGTTTTTTTGAATAACAACTATGTCTCTTTCTGCCAAGTATTTAGAGCTTTTTCTTTTTCCAATACTAGCTGCTCGACCCGACCCCTTCTCTGAATGGTCTACATCTGGGTGGGTACTTATAACCCTGGGCACCATACACAGAGCTCTCCTCTTCCGAACTTCATTTCGTTTAAGCAATTGATTAGAATGAGTGGAACATACGGAAAGTTCTGACTGTCTAAAGTTGTGTGGCAAAATACCGGCTTCAGTCAAAATAATTACAATATCTGATTCATGAAATGATTGTAATTTAAATAGTTCAGATGAGCAATTAGAATTATCAAAAATAGTCTTGTTTATGTTAAACAAATCACAATTCATGGTACAATTCATACTACTTTACAAAATATATTGTCATCATATTAAAGTTTGTTGACAGCAGACATACATAGAACATTTGTACTATCTTGTTTGGAGAGTAATTCAGGGGAAGCTACTCCTGCTACACAGAGGTAACTAAAAGGGATTTTTTTATTGCAATTTATAAATTCAACCCTTTTTTGACTTGATTTGATAAAAAAAAAAATTTTCAGAAAGCAGTGTAAAGAATTTCAAGACAAATAAAGCAGCTTTATCAATTTAAATAGTATATTGGTATTAAAATTTGAAACAGTTATTTCCAAAACCTTGGTTTCGAACAAATTGATTTGTGCAAAATTTTCAAATATACCCCTCCCAATTTTTTGTATTTTGCTTTTTCAATGGTTCAACTATTTAAAAATAAATTCAGCTATATCTGGAAAATCTGGGTTGAAAATTCTCAAAGCTTTCAAAACAGGGTAAAATGGGACTCCCAATATACAAGGAATTTGCCAATTTTTGGGGATAAGTTCTTGACAAAACTAATAAATAATATATTTTTCTTAATGCATTTTTTGAATATGTCATAACCATACTTAGTCATAACAACAAACATATTTTTCCTTTTTATTTTATGAAAGGCCATACACATTCAATTGTAATTGCATATTTTTAGCCTTTTTGACTTACAAAAATGGACCGAAAACTGTCCAAGCTGTTACCATAGCAACCACAAAATTTTATGCGGAACTTGATGTATATTTTGGCATATCTCAACGATTAGAACATTTTTACAAATTTTGAACCAATTCTGTGACATGTCATTTCCACATGATTTTGATGCTTACAGAGAATGACTCTTAAATCTTCATGGTTGGTTTGCTGTCTATGTACAGTCATTCTAGTCCGCAGTTCTGTTTTTGTCTCTCCAATATAGAATTCCTCACAATTTGCACATATGAGAGAATAAATGACGTTTGAACTTTTACAAGCCATATTTTGTTTAACTGTGAAATGCTTTCCATTTTTGAAATAAATTGAACTTTCTTCTATTAAATCTGGACATGTCATACATCGTTTATCGGTACATTTTCTAACAATAGGCAAAGTTTCATTAAAGTCGAATTTTGAAGATGTTAAATATCGTTTTAGACTTTTTGACTGTCTTTTACTGTTGATAATCTTCTTTTTTTGTAATACTTTGTCCATTTTTTCACTTTTGTGTAAATTATTTTCAATTTGTCGCATGAAACTAAATATATCATAATCTCGTGGGTTATATGTTGTGACAAACGGGATACTTTTGTCTAAACTGTTTGATGATTCTTCAGTTGTTTCGGATCGCCGTGATTCTGTAATGATTGGTCCTTTTATCAGTGCCTTTTGAATTCTGTAATCTATCACTTGTTCCGGATATTGCTGCTTTTTTAAATACACTTTTAATTTTTTTTCAATCTTTTATTTGCGTAATAGTTCTGTACTTGTAATGGTAATTATTCTTGACGCTAGATTAAAAGGTATATTTAATTTTACATGTTTTGGATGATTTGAGTAAAAATTTAAATACATATGTGTATCGGTGTCTTGAGATTGATTGATTGATTTTTGGTGTTTTAACGCCACTTTTAAGCACCGCTTTTGGGCTATTTTGTGGCGGCCAGTTTTTATTGGTGGAGGAAGCCGGAGCGCCCAGAGAAAACCACCGACCTTCGATAGGAAAACTGACAATCCTAGTCAATTAAGATTGGAGTCGAGTGCACCCGCACGAGCGGGGTTCGAACTCACAACCTCAGTGTTGACTGGCTAGTGATTACAGTAGTAACTACTTAGACCACTCGGCCACCGAGGCCCCGGTGTCTTGAGAAAAGATATCTGTGACAATTTCATTGTCTTCCGTTATAAGTACTAAAATATCCAAAAACGGCATTTTGTTGACATTTCTGTTAATTGTGAAACGAATATGTGGGTTTAAAGAATTTAAATCAGAATGAAAATCTGAGACAGATATATCCGAATTCCAAATTATAAAACAATCGTCAAGAAATCGTTTATATTGGTATATGTGTAACATACTGAATATTGCGATCGGGAACCAGTCTAACAATAATCCAAAGTAAAATTAAATAACGATGCCAATGAAATGAAATTCCCGCGCAAATGTCATGACTGGAATAGACTAATAAGAATTTTAGGTCTATGTATCATTCACATTCCGATCAATTTACTCAGTTAAATAAAATATATAATTTAACTATATTTATAATGGTTTTGAATTTAGTTAATCTATCAGAAAAATTATTTATTTCTAGCAGACAACCCTTAATACTATACACCAACTCGACACTGAAGCTAAAAACCCCTAAAACATCATTATAATGGTATATGGAATCGTCCAAACGGATTTCCTAATATTGATAAAGGTGAAATATGTAGATTTAGAATTGTGTACACAGAAATAAGATCAGAAATAAAGCCCTATGTAAGGTGAAAAAAAAAACCCAACGGTATAACATCATTGTTTATTAAATTTGCTTGCATAAGAAACGTGAAGTTAACATTTATAACGATTACATGTAGCCTGTCAATCGCTGAAAAAATAATAATGTCTTCTTGACTACTTTCGCGCGCGGTGGACAGTACAATTAATATTTTGTTAGATAGTATGTTAATCATACACAAATTTGATGTACATGTACTCCCAGAAACTACCAATTTCTTTGGTCTTATATGGATGGACTTTCATGTCAGACAAGTCCCTTTTCGTTCATGTCCTTTGAAAAAAACAATGTTAAAGACAGAATTAACAGAGATGTTAGTGATTACTTTTCATAGAAATAAGATGGTGTTCTAATATGAAATATGTAAGCAGCAAACAGGAAATAGATAAGTGACGGATCTTAAAAGTATTTCCATCTAAAAATATTACTGTCATATTAGATAAAATGTTTTACGTCACAAAAAAAAAGCAATGTGTGCATGATTGATGTCAATAGGTAAAGTGTAGCAAAATCTCAAATAGTGATAAGGGGACGACCATTGATTCTGAAAGGGACCGGGTGCTGGCAGATTTTGGAAATAAATATTCTGGCACCTACATGTATTAAGATGGAAAATAAATAAACTTGACTTGTCACACTTGAAAATATTTTAAAGAATTCTGACACAAAATAATGATATCATACAATCTTTTTTCACTCGATCTGCTCGCCAAATGTACAAAGCATGTACATGTATACAATAAATAAATATTGTCGGTGGCAGTTGACCGTAAAAAAAAGGGCTTAAAATCAAAAGTCAAATTTTCTTTGCCTATGTTCCTTCATAGCATTTTTCTTTTCACTGCACTAAACATAACAATTTGCATGTTAATTTGAGGAGAGACATGTAGTCTATGGTTAAGAACAGTATTAAAGAAGAAAAAAAAACAAACAAACTTAGATTTTTTTTAATTAATTTTTCACTTTTGTAAATGTTACATATTTGTAATGTTTATTGTATATTTGTGTTATTTTCAAACAGTCCAATTGTTTGGCTTTATACTTATAAATATCTTATATCATAAGACCCAAGACTCCCCACCCCCTGTTTGTTATGCTATTATATTTTCATGTATTTATTTTGAATATTTATACATAGCATTTTGAAAATAAATACACCACATCTCAAATTGTTTTTTTTTATGAATGAATTACAACGATTATATATGACGTCCTTGAAAAATCAGTGTTTTCTGTGATATAACAACATAAGCATTGTGACATAAGAATTATATGGGGAAATGTACTAATTCTAAAGTTGTCCATATCCTGGCCTGGTTGGTACACAGGGGGTCTCAACCTAAAAATTTGGGTGCAGACGTCCGGTTGGGGTTTGAAAAACACCTCCCGTTCATATATTGATTTATGTGAAAATCCCTACCCATTCACATATATATTTCATAAGAAAATCAAAACCCATTTATATACATGTATATTTCCAAGCTACCTGTTTAAATCAGGTAATCAAATAAGTTTATTTTCATTTTTTTTTAAATTTACTTTATTAAATTCTATTTCTACTCTCTGCTAAATGATATTTTGGTGCCCCCCCCTTCCCTCCCCGGTTGGCTGGTAAGAGCTGAAAGAAATTATTTTGCCCAAGGCAGGAGGAAAATTAATTTTCTGCAACTCAAAATACAGGAATTAAATATTGTACAAAGTAAAAATGAAACTTTGCTGCAGTAAAAACTAAGCATGCATAGCAACAGATCAAAATGAATAGTTCTATCCGTCAACCCCCCCCCCCCCCCCCCAAATATCAAATGGTTGTCCCTTAAAAACTAAACTAACCCTGACCGTGACCCTAAACTTACCATAACCATAAAAGAACCCTCACATGGTCCCCTGTAGTAAACTAAAAATGTCCTAAGTTTGAACACCATATTCAACTTCATGACCACCATACCATACTAACCAAATGAAATGTGAACTACTTTGGTTTAAGTCGTAACTCTTTACCTCTTTAACTAAAAATCTCCAGATTCCTTGATCTGTTGATAGTTCTCAGTTCATGAGTAGATTTTGAAGTTGTCGTCTCATTGCGGGCTTCCGTTGTCGTTGACTTCTGTGACAATAAAGCATGTGTGTGAGTTGCCGGTTTTATTTCATTGATTATTCGTTGATTCATATGCCATGGACTTTGTTTGTCAAGTTAAATCAACAAAACAACAAAAAGTATTGTTGACAATCTTCTGCCAACGTCTTTCTCGTCATCATAAATCTAATCATAAATCTACATCCCAGAAGCGTTTTAAAAACCGACTCCGGACGCAAGATTTACGGATAGCGTCACGATGAAGTCTATTCATTCTTGAAAACTATAAGATAATTATATATAGAAGTACTGAAAGATGACAAAACAATTTAGTACTGAAAAATGACAAAAAAAATCAATACTGAAAATGACTGAAATTTTCAGTACTGTAGAATGACTAAAATTTTCAGTACTGTAGAATGACTAAAATTTTCAGTACTGTAGAATGACTAAAATTTTCAGAACTGAAAACAACTTTTTCTCGACATTACTGAAAACATGCATATAATTATATGTACTGAAAAGGTAAGAAAAATGTACTGATTGATGATATTTTTTACCAGTACTGTATATGTAGTGGCATTTAAAGTACATGTAAACGCTATGTCAATTCCTGGTAGTGTATACTGCAACTTTTGGGCAAGCAAGTAACAATATACAAAATTGACACTCAAGCTTTGCCACGTACACGTTGCACAATGTGTTTCTGAATATAGCAGATTGACGAGAATGACGATACGATAGTGTGCTAGTGCATGAACTATCGTTAAATTAAATTATTGTACATATTGGAATGTTGTATAGCTTTATATCTTTTGCAAACTTTTGTAATTTGATCTGTTAACGTATACTTTGTTCACTGAATCTCTTGATATAGGAAAAAACAATGAATGAATGAATGAACTTGGTATGTTGTTATAAATCCATTTACTTCACAGCCGAGTAGTAAAATAGAATCGAATAGATCAAGCTGACTAATTGGCAAATTGTGATTACATACGTAATAGGTATCCCATTGTCAAATGCCGTTAGATAATTTCAAATGCATTTTCGTAGAATCTGGTAAACTTTAAGAAATAATTAAGGCAAACAATTTTTATCTGAAGAAAACGAATTTGTTTTGTCTGTTAGATGCGAAAAAATTATGCATTTCTATAAATCAGCTGCACAAAATTGTGTTCCAGTTCTACTAAAAATTCTGGAAATTTCACGTTCACAGAATATTTTTCTCAAAATCAGTCTCAAAAACAATATTTTCCAACATTCAAAAATTTTAATACACACGTCTTCATATGAAGCAACCTATGCACGTGTACATATGAAACCGAATATGCACGTCTTCAAATGAATCAAAATATGCACGTCTACAAATGAGTCCCAAAATGAACGTCTACAAATGAATCAGAATATGCACGTCTAAGCACGAATCAGAATATGCACGTCTACAAATTAATCAGAAAATGCACGTTCAGAAATGAACCAGAATATGCATGTCTACAAATGAATCAGAATATGCACGTTTTCAAACAAATCAAAATATGCACGTCTACAAATGAGTCAGAATATGCAGGTCTACGAACAAATCAAAACATGCACGTCTACGAAGGAATCAGAATATGCACGTCTACGAACGAATAAAAATATGCACATCTACAAATGAATCAGAATATGCACGTCTACAAACGAATCCCAATATGCAGGTCTACAAAAGTATCAGAATATGCACGTCTACGAAGGTATGAGAATGCATGTCTAAAAGTGAATTCTTATATGTTGTCTACAAATGAATCAGAATATGCACATATAGCAATGAACCAGAATATGCACGTCTACAAATGAAAAGGAATATGCAAGTTTATAAATGAATCATAATATGCTCGTCTTCAATGAATCAAAATATGCATGTCTTTAAAGGTATGAGAATATGCACGTCTTCAAACGAATCCCAATATGCAGGTCTACAAATGAAAAAGAATATGCACGTTTACAAATGAATCATAATATGCTCGTCTTCAATGAATCAAAATATGCATGTCTTTAAAGGTATGAGAATATGCACGTCTACAAATGAATCGTAATATATGCGTCTACAAATGAATCATATAATACACATATACAAATGAATCAGAATATGCACGTCTACAAATGAATAAGAATATGCACGTTTACAAATGAATCAGAATATGCACGTCTACGAACGAATCAGAATATGCACGTCTACAAATGAATAAGAATATGCACGTTTACAAATGAATCAGAATATGCACGTCTACGAACGAATCAGAATATGCACGTCTACAAATGAATCAGAATATGCTCGTCTACAAATGAATCAGAATATGCACGTCTACGAACGAATCAGAATATGCACGTCTACAAATGAATCAGAATATGCACGTTTACAAATGAATCAGAATATGCACGTCTACGAACGAATCAGAATATGCACGTCTACGAACGAATCAGAATATGCACGTCTACAAATGAATCAGAATATGCTCGTCTACAAATGAATCAGAATATGCTCGTCTACGAACGAATCAGAATATGCACGTCTACAAATGAATCAGAATATGCACGTCTACAAATGAATCAGAATATGCTCGTCTACAAATGAATCAGAATATGCACGTCTACGAACGAATCAGAATATGCACGTCTACAAATGAATAAGAATATGCACGTTTACAAATGAATCAGAATATGCACGTCTACGAACGAATCAGAATATGCACGTCTACAAATGAATCAGAATATGCTCGTCTACAAATGAATCAGAATATGCACGTCTACGAACGAATCAGAATATGCACGTCTACAAATGAATCAGAATATGCACGTTTACAAATGAATCAGAATATGCACGTCTACGAACGAATCAGAATATGCACGTCTACGAACGAATCAGAATATGCACGTCTACAAATGAATCAGAATATGCTCGTCTACAAATGAAACAGAATATGCACGTCTACGAACGAATCAGAATATGCACGTCTACAAATGAATCAGAATATGCACGTTTACAAATGAATCAGAATATGCACGTCTACGAACGAATCAGAATATGCACGTCTACAAATGAATCAGAATATGCTCGTCTACAAATGAATCAGAATATGCACGTCTACGAACGAATCAGAATATGCACGTCTACAAATGAATCAGAATATGCACGTTTACAAATGAATCAGAATATGCACGTCTACGAACGAATCAGAATATGCACGTTTACAAATGAATCATAATATGTACCTCTACAAATGAATCGAAATATGCACGTCTACGATCGAATCAGAATATGCACGTCTACGATCGAATCAGAATATGCACGTCTACGATCGAATCAGAATATGCACGTCTACTATCGAATCAGAATATGCACGTCTACGATCGAATCAGAATATGCACGTCTACTATCGAATCAGAATATGCACGTCTACGATCGAATCAGAATATGCACGTCTACTATCGAATCAGAATATGCACGTCTACAAACGAATCAGCATATGCACGTTCACATATGAAAAACTTTAAAAGCATGACTGTCTTTTAATAAAAAAAACATTTTTATCTTTTTTTTAGTCATAAGGGGGGTGAAACTTTCTACAGTTTCTCGTTCAGAAACCAATGACGATGTGTGTTAGAAAAGAAAATGGTAGTTTGCATAAATAATTAATCCATTACACCAATAATATAAATTCGATATATATATATATAAATTTTGCAATATCAAAGACATGAGAAAAGATTGAGCTCGTTCTTGCAGTCTTTATATAAATAACTTATTTTCGAATGTAGAAAGATGTTTACTTATGATAATATAACTTCTAGTTTAATTAATATTTTCATTGTTTGTTTACATCTTTAGTTTAAATGTGCATTCGGCTGTGTCTGCAAGCGCTATAGTAACGACAATTGGACATTTAAATTTGGTTTGTCTGAACTATCCATTGGTAATACTCATCCAATTGATCTCTAAGATATGTGGTCTTTTATCATTATATAATGTTTAACAGTTCGTCACAATTTAGTTACCGTTTTTCGATACGGAATAAAATGTCCATACTACTAAGGTTTGTAAAATAGTATTTAAAAATTTACCTTATATATATATGGTTAAATTACGTTACCAATTTCAGATTGTATTGTAAAAGTAACAAGATATACTACAATAACCAATGACAAATAGAACAACAGAGGGCAAATACAGCGGCTCTTTTCACAAAAAATCTTAAGAGTAAAAATACTCGTAAGTCATACACATTTCATAAGATTTCGTAAGATTTTATGTGAAAAGAATCGCAGGAATTTAAAAACTGCGAAGAAGAATTTGCAAATATGAAAAACCTCTCTGATGATACAAACATTTGTTGCTATTGGTTACTTTCTAATTCGAAAACGATCGGTTTCTAACGAAAGCATAGCGGACAATTCATGTCATTAATAAATGAATGATTCTGAGAAAACTATCTAAGTGTATTGCACGAAATGATAAGATTGTCTCGTTTTGAAAGTTATGTAAATAGTGTAGCATTTAAACACAAATTGTAAATTAAAATAAACCTTTTCGAAGAAAAAAAAACGGGTCTCTAAAAATATGCATTTTTTTCAATCATTGTTTTTATGCTCCTTTGTCTTAAATAAATAATCTGTAATGTCATATAAACAAATAAAAAAATTTCCACTCATTTCCGATTCCTTGGCCACTCTATGGCAGATCTCAATCGACTGACTATTGCCGTCATTGGCCACAACACTGCTTGGACTAGGGAGGAAAGAATCAATCGGGACAAATTTTGAAAGCGAAAATTAAAAACCTTGGCAGCAAATGCTATTACTGAAAAGATGTGGTTCTAATCGCGCAGTGCTATTCATTTTGGGAAGTAACTAAGCAGTCTCTGTTGTTACTCTTTTACTTTCGTAAATTTTCAATGTTTTACTACTGATGTTGACTTGTAAACTTTTTAGGCGTATATAAATTAATGTAATATAAATTGAATACGAATCATTGATGCAGACAAGAAATATATATAAAAACCCAAAATTTGCTAGTTAAATATGTATACCGGGCCATTTGGAAAACAGGTGGACCTAAAACTGTTAGATCACGACTGATTGTATTTGCAAGAAATTAAATATTCTATTTAAACAGTAGTTAAAATTAGAAATATTGATTTTCTGGAAATCGATTAT